AATGCCTTCTCAAACTTGGTGATCTTGCCTAGCTCCATTTTGTCCAGGTGTCCCCTCACACCAGCATAAATGACTGCTACCTGCTCTTCAATAGCTATGGGAGCTGACACACAAAAGACAAAAGTACAGATGGATACATTTTCTGAAAGAGATGCCTACATTATTTTAAACCGATATCAAAGTTAAACACTCACAGTACTGCCCCTATTTGAGGAGCTCAGACAAACACCACAGTGCAGAAGTTGCTGAATGGCAGCATCCAGAAGCAAACTGAGCAAAAGCAGCCAGCTCATGGTACTGGGCCAGCTCCAGCTCCATGGTACCTGCCACCGGATGACTGACAGGAATCACTACATCAGCAAGAAAGACATTCATCACTATACCAGCTGGAAGATGTGGGAGTACAAGCAGCACTAACCTGCTTCACGGCCCTGGTCTGGGCAGCAGATCCAACATGTGACACTGACAGACAGACGTTAATCACTAGGTGAATACCTTTGTAGAATAGCAAAGTCTCCAAAAAGATCCGAGTGAGAAAACAGCACTTAAGATATGGGTTCCAGATTTGAATTGGGTTGAAGACAAAAATTCACACACTTACCACTCCATCTGTGATGGAGATGACATTAATGGGAATGTAGACTGACACATCACCAGCCTGTGTCTCACTAATGGGAAGAGCTGTGAGGGAGCCACCGCCAAAGTTGTCATTCATCTGAGCAGCTCTCAACAGAGTTTCATTTCTTCGTCACTACCTCAAACATCAGATTAAATAATAAATAAAAAAAACTTCACCTGCTTGGACAGATCATCATAGATGACGAGGGCCTGCTTACTCCCATGGAGCAGCCAGAATAGAGAGCCAGGTACTACAACGGAGCAGCATCAGAGGCAATAGCAGACACTACACTGGTGTATTTCATGGCATCAGCATCAGTCAGCCTCTTGACCAGCTGAGCCACTGTGGATCTCTTCTGGCCGATAGCGACATAGATGCAGTACAGCTTTTCCTTCTCATCAGTGCCATCATTGAAGCGCTTCTGGTTGATGATTGTGTTGATAGCAATGGCAGTTTTGCTGCAAAAAAAATTTAAACCCATGGATAAACACTATGGATACAATAAAAAAAAAAACAGAGCCATGTATGCAAGTGATTCTTCATCTTGTGTTTTGGTGCCAAGAATTCTGCAGATTTATTCAACTAAAACCACCTAAAATATGATTCTTAGCATCAAACATTCTAATATTAACAAATTAGTATTTCTTCATTTGTCTGTATTTAAATGTGAAACAGCCATGAACTGACAAAAGGCTGAGCTGCCAGAAATCAGAACAATCTTATAAGGGTTAAAAATGTTCAGTTAAATATACCATGCTATATTTCAAAATAGATGATTGTCTGCATTAGCACTTCCACTGTTTTACCATCATTTTAGTCTCACAAGAAATGAGATCAGATGTCATGTGCTAAACTTATTCACTTTGAGCTGACTCTACTTACCCAGTCTGCTTGTCTCCAGTGTCCACAACACGATCATGGTTTTTGCATGAACACATTCGGAGCTTTTCTTAAAGAGGCTGACACAAAACTAAACATAAAGAAGTTAATATTGCTTACAAATCCAGCTCGTCGAAGCATGGTGATGTCCTGCAAAACCCTCCTGGTCCGGGAGGGGAGGGAGAAGGGTGTTGACACAGCAGCCGGTTTGTAAAAAGGTCACCGTGACCCGGAAGTACTTCAAAATAAACGTCATGTCTTTTTCTTCGGTTGTTTTTATCTTCTTTCTTTCTTTCTTTGTTACTAGTTTTTGTTTGTTTCGTTTCGTTTCCTTTATCGAAACATGGTGTGAAATGTTGTGGACGACCAGTGAGGCTCATAATTATATTAGTAAAATTCATCAATAAAATACATTGATGAAAGTATAACAAAAAATGAAAAGATATGGGATAAAAAAAAGTATATTTGCCTATAAAATACGGTAACGTCGGCGTATGAAGTAGCAGAAAATATAAATACTCAAGTATAGAAACCTCAAAACTGTACTCAAGTATAGTACTTGAGTAAACTTTCTTTCTCATCCTGTAGTTTCAATATTCGACCGCAGAGGGCGCTCGGCCGGAAGTGGCGCACTGTGCTTTGAACGGACGGCTGATGGAGACATTTTAAAATAAACACATAGCTAACTGCTAACAGGGCTCGCAGAGGTGTGAATACGGTGTGCCAACACACATTCAAATTATTCCAAGTTGTACAGGTGTATATTGTATTTAGCAGTGCACTGTTTATGCACTGCGCATCAAAGAGACTCAGAATTACTGAAGATGTCGAAAAGTCTTACACTGGGAAAAGAAGAACATAAGTAACGCCGCGGTAAGTTGTAACTAGCGCAGCCGATTGTGAATGCTAAGTTGGCTATAGCTTTTGTAGCGATAACAGTAGCTATAAGGTGCTGTCATTATCCTGCCTGTTACGCCTCTGGCTGGATAGATACAGCTTCCATTTATAGGATCTTGCGATGCAGCTGTCGTGTTACCGGGATATTTTTTCCACGACTTCTTCGTCTTCTTGTTAAGTTCCAGGGGTGTAAGGTTATGACCGAGGTTAGCTTCGCTACGCGGCTAAAAGTAGTTTCTGGTTTCGAACCTGTGTCAGCCCAGACATATGCTAACTAAATTCACTGAAATACAAATAAACGTCTCATTGTACACACCCTGTTTAATGTGACTGAAGAACCCATTCTCTGTCTGTATTTTTATAATAATGCAAACATAGCATTTATTCCTCTAAGAAGCTATCCCATGTTAATAGTTTACCAACAATACCGATAAATAGGATTTCTGGCCAAAATGTTGCATAGAATTTAATGGAAGTATATTTTGTTTTGCTATACGTGAATAATCAGTAGTTATGCAGCATGGAAAGCCCAGTACAAGATCTGCTAACAAATACATTTAAAATCATTGTGCGAGTTTTTATGGCGAGGAAAACCTGCGTCATTATGACATCACTGTTTGTTAAAGTAGTAGAACTAGAGGTCTGCATATTTTGAAACAATTAATTGTAGTGGATCTTTATGGTTATGATTAAATAACCAGCACACTTAATAATCCCCTTAAATGTTACCAGATGACTCATACTTGATGCAAACTGTGACTATTGTTTATAATTTGCAGTCATCTGGTGTTTGTAGTACTTGCTCTATATGCAGAAAGCCAGGCCAGCAGCACAGTTTTAAAAAATTCATATAGCACTGAATGCTTGCCTCTTAAATTCTTATGAAAGAATCCAACATGTTGCACACATTTAGACTGTGATTTGAATTAGTGATGTTATGCTTTTCATCCAACAGGGGAGCTCCTGTCCAGGCACACTGGTCCATGTTTGTTGGACCTTTGGGCTCTGGGCTCAACTAGCATGAAGATGGCTGATTCAGAGAAGGCAGAGGAATTTGTGGATGCAGAGTGCCCCCCAAAGTGCCTTGATGAAATACAGTCAGCCACGGCTTCTGTTCTGGGAGAACAGGATGAGCATCTGAAAACAGAAACAACCACCAGTACCAGCTCACCACTGAGGGAAAAGGAGGCAGATAGCCCATCGCATACAGAGGGTGAGCAGAGTCTCCTCTCCATGCCATGCCTGATGAAGGAGCTCCACCGTGACTCCCCAGAGTCACAGCATGCCTCTACAGGGAGTGATAAGGCCATGTCTCGTCAGGTCTATGAGAGTGACTCCTCAAACCCCTGCATGCTCTCCCCCTCATCCAGTGGCCACCTTGCTGACTCAGACACACTCTCCTCAGGGGAAGAAGGTGCTGCTCCTCCTGTAGGAGGAGAGGAAGAGGGAGACATGGGAGCAGCAACTAATCCTGGGCAGACAGAAGGAAGGCAAGCATCTGGTATGGCGACAGGGAGGAGGAAGTCCCGGCGGTCTCGTTCAGAGAGTGAGATGCCCCCTAATGCAATGGCTGCAAAGAAAAATTGCTCCCAGCCCACTGTGGTAGCGGCGGGAGGGCAAGAAAAACAAACCAATGGCAAGCTTACGAAAGTGAAAGGTCAGCGGAGCCAGAAACACAAGGAGCGTATGCGTTTGCTGAGACAAAAACGAGAGGCAGCAGCACGGAAGAAGTATAACCTTCTCCAGGACAGCAGTACGAGTGACAGCGAGCTCACATGTGACTCCAGCACCAGTTCCTCTGAGGACGAGGATGTTGACTCTTCAGGAGGCAGCAAGACAATCAAGACAGATATTCCAGGTAACATCTGATGTTCACAACACATGGCTTTTCCACAGTATTAACACCACTGCCCAGGTAGTAGCAGCCACTTAGATAACACATAATAATATAAAACATATAGTCCAACAGTGTGCCACAGTCCAAGAGCCATCAAAGCCTAATGAGTGACTGCCTGCATGCCATTAAATTTTCACCAAACTGTTCACTTGCCACATAAATTACAAACATGCCATTGGTCTATACAAAGTGTTCAGAATATTAGATCAACAAAAGCACTGTTTTGTTTGTTTTTATTAATCACTGTTTTGTTGATGTTTTCTCACTCATCATCTGTCTTCATTCATCTTGTTTCTAGATACCTAGACTCTGTGTTTAAAAGGGCCTATGCCCAGTAGTGTTTCTATATGTGTTGGAACTTCACATGCTGTGGAAACCTGGTGGACATTTGTCAGCTCATGGAATGATATAAACAGAGCTGCGTTAACTGATATTGTGAGTTCTGCAATTTAATAAGTGAGCCATTTTTATCCTCAGCCTTTGCTGTAAATAGACGATGGTGCAAGATCTCACAGTGTTAGTCTGAGTTGCAAGGCTGTGCAGCTACTGTTCAGTGTAGGAGTGCTGTAGAGGAATATTGTAATCTTCAGTGTGCCACTTGAAAGTCCATTTAAAAGAGTAATATCTTTTCTATTGAGTCAAGTTTAGTGAATGTCTGTCACTCAAAGACTGATAGGCATTTAGTATAGCCTGCTTTTCGGTCTTTCCTGCATCTTTTGAATATCCCTTAGGTCGCTCTAACACGCCACTCTGCCTACACAGGAGATGGTGGCAAACAGGTGGTTCTTTTCTCTAATGGATTCTGTAGCACCTTTGAAGAGACAGATAGCTTTTGTCAGGGAGTACAAAATGTTAATGCATATACAGATCTGACTGAGGACAGCTGTGCTGTAAACTAAACTCGGGCACAGATGTGTCTAATTAGAATTAAATGCCCTGGTAGATAAACAGTGACAGTACTCTCTGCTTGCACATCAGCCCTATGTTGTTGTTTTTTTTCCTTTAGTTAATCCAGTGTTTTTTCTGATCATTGTATAAATCTCTTGGGTGAGTTGGTTTCTCCACAAGTAGCAACCAGCTGGGGGGGGGGGGATCTACAGGCCTGCTGC